ATCCCTCTCCATGAAATGGAGCCAAACCTCCTTGCATAAATGGCTGATTCCAGGGCTGGGGCTGAGAAAGTGCAAACGGAGCCTGGAACCTCTTATGCCAGGAAGTAAGGAAATGGGGAAGGTGGCAGGGCCCTCTCAGGAGGAAGCAGCCAGCTTGAAGCAGCGTCCACTGGCCGAATCTAGGGCAGCTGAGCTTCCAGTTGAATAATGATCATAAAGATACACCCTATTGAGTGAGAATTCCCAGGTCCATTCTGACATAAATAAATAAGTAGAAGGATAAATAAGTGGGGAGAAGGAAAAGCGCTCACAGTAGTGTCCTGCAAGCAAATACGAAATAGGTGATGGCATCAGAAAACTACTGTTGGTCAGTCATCGAATAAATAATCGAGTCAAGCAAGACTCATCCACAGATACAAAACTAGTAGATTAAGTTCTATGAGGAACATATTTATCTTTCCAGAAGTATTTCTTAATTACAAGGGAAAAACAGGAACTTCACAGTGCAAAAACCTGGCACACGGCACCTTAACCAGGTGGGGCAAAGCCCCTCACTAATATGAGGTGTTCATTATAGGGAAACTGAGGCGGGATGGGAAGAGAACTCTGTACATTCTGCTGGTTTTCTATAAACGTAAACCTCAAAAAAACAAAGCTTAGTAATTTTTTAAATGCTTTATTGTGGCACATGAACATATATGAAATGGGAATTTCTGTGTCTATGTAGTTCCCCTGAGCACCGCCACCCTTGCTCATTTACATATTATCTGCAGCTGCTTTGGGGCTGGGGCCTCAGGGTTGGATGTTTGCAGCAGAGGCCATATGGCTCACAAAGACGAAAATAGGATGCCGGCTGCTGTGTGCAAGTCGTCTCCCAGCCCAGAGGCACCTGCCCAGGGACTGCACCAGGACTCAGCTGCCACCTCTGCACAGGCCACGTGCTCCACCAGGCATCCGTGCAAGGGACAGGCGTGGCAGCACGTATGTCGTGTGAGCTACGGGAGGGTGCGTGCAGGGAGCCCATAACAGCTCGGCAGCTGCTGGCCTTGGCATTGTGAGTCTGATCTCTGGGAAAGGAGATGACTCACCAGCTAGTGAGCTGGCGGATGCGTGCATAACCTACTTGAAGGCAGGTTGGGTTTACGTAACTCTTTTATAGCACATTCCCTGGTTATAAAACGAATGTACTCCAAGTGTAGGAATATTGGGAAAGTCAGAAAAGTATGAAGAAGAAAATGAAAGCCACTTGAAGTTCTACCACCCAGAGATGACATAGAACAACACAAAAGATGTTGAACTCGTAACAGAATTGTGCCTCCACGTCCTGGAGATGACGGCGCTAGCATGTGCCCTGGATTCTTTCATCAGCGCACCTGGGACACAGCCCACGTAAATGGGACCATGCTGCTGCTAAGCCGTTCCTCTTAGTTATTAACGTAGCGAGACTGTCCGTAGCTGTGTCAACAACATCACTGTCCTACCTCAAGTAAGGAATTTTTCCAGTTGTCAGAAATGTATTTTGTAAAATATACCGATGCATTTGTTTTTAATGGGGAACATGTCTAAAAGAATATATACTTTTAGTAAGAAGAGGAGATAGTATCAGTGGGTAGCTCCGGAAGGTAAATACAGGATGATATGATGATTTGAATGTCTTCGTTATGTTCCGTGTAATTTCTGGGTGGTAAATTTTCAAAAAGGACTTCTATGGATGGCTTATTTTCTGCTTTGTACTTATCCATAGTTTTCAAATAATTATACTCCTTAAAATGACCGCAGCTGATATTTTGTTATATTTCCTAATATCTTAAGAAGTTTATCTTAAACGTCATGGAAGTCACGCTGTATATAGCATCTCCACTGGTGAAGGGACTCTTGCATGTGGGGCCGCTGCGATTCTTTTTGGCTCCTCTGTCATGGACTGTTGGCACCATTTCTGATTTTCCACAATGTAATGCTGTGATGAGTAGCTATGCCCCCAAATTCTTCTTTCTCCCTCTGAATGCTGCTGAGGCTTCGATCTTAGAAGCACAGTCACCGCGTCTCAATGCATAACATTTTTAAGGTTCTCATTGCATAAGAAAAGACTGGCTTGAAGCGTTTCTGCTCATTAATTACTGTCAGATAAGCTCTTACTCATTGGTTATAATAAAAAGGGACTACAGATAACTGACTGACTTAGCTATTTTTAAAGCAGCTCTTTAGTCCTGTCTTAGAAGTGTTTTTGAAGTTAATTAGATATTATGTCTGAACATAAAAATCATGCTTTCCCCCCAAAACTTTTCAAAATAATTTTAAAGATAGCTAATCATGTTAAAGAAAATTTTAAAAATAGAAGAGTTTTACCAAATCTCACTCCTTCCCTTTCTATGAATCTTACATAGTTGGAATAAAAGTATATGTAGTTTTGTGTCCTGCTTCTGTAATGTAACATTCTATTGCGTGCGTCTGTTGTTATCACAGCCTCATAATTATGATTTTTAATGACTACAAATTATTCCACTGACTTCATATATGACAGTAACATAACCATTCCCTGGCTGGATGCGTAGGCTTTTTCAGATTTTTACTTGTAGCACTGTGGTGAGTGTGGACTGTTTCCTTGGTTCAAAACCCCAAAGTGGATTGACTGGGTCTGAATTTAAATTTTTATTCCTTCAGAATTTTCACTAATTCGTACTGGCCTGTCTTCTAGGTTAGTCTTAGTTTTGAAGTTTCATTCCAACGACCTCATGAAATTCATATGTTCCCATTGGCAGCGCATCCAGTAGGTGCTGTGATGTCCTTAGGAACCTAAGTGGCCAGGACACTGCCCTGTTTGCAGGGGGACTTTTATGGGCCGGGATGTGTCGGACATCGGAACGCTTTCCTTGCAGGCCCGCTTGGTCCTCCAGTGAATGCACTCGGCTGCCACTCACACAGCCTTTTACTCCACAGCCTTTGCCAACAGGAGAGAAACTATCAGAGGCAAGGCCGTCATCATGGAACCCCCGTTTCCCTTTCTGTTTCCTTTGTGAGAACATCAGGTCGGGTTGGAAATGCATTGCGGTGCCTCCTGGCCGCTAAGCAGACCCCAGCGACTTCATCGGAGAGATGCACACGTTCCCGGCTCATAAACCCTCCTTTGTTGCCTGTGGCCGTGCGGTTTGGCCCCGGAGTTATCTCAGATGCACAAATAAATCCGGCGGCCTCCGCTTGTCTCCGGTTCAGTGTTGCCCCTTCCCCGCTTGTCTCCCTCCTCGCAGTTTCCTCTTGGCCGTCAGCGCACAGACCCGTCTTCTCATCAATATGCCCTGTTAACTGCTGCCAAGCCTCCAGCAGCTCAGTGCATATGTTCCCTTAATCATTTCTCTTTGTTCTAGAAGTCTGTGTTTGGTTTCTGAATACCCGCCTGCCCCCAGTTCCACCAGCACCGTCGTTGGCCATAGTGCGTGACTGTTTAGGTCTGTTTAAAGAGCATCCTAGATTGCCTGGCATGGAGGGCGCCCGCAGTCTGTGCCCAAGGTGCTAAATCACCCCTCTCCTCCCCGAGAGCCCCGCCCTGCCTTGCCCAGGGGAGGGACCGCAGGGCCCTCTGGGGCGCAGAGGAGCCTGGAAGACAATCTCCCTCCCTGCAGGGACAAAGCTCCCTTCTCAGGCCTTTCCGCTGCCCAACACAAGAAAAGGACGCTTTCTTGTCTAGGCACTGTGGCTCTCAATGGGCTATTCATGGCGTCCAAGAGAAATACCTCTGGAGCTGTATTTCATGGGAGATGGAAGGGGCCTGGGCTGTGGGCAGCGGGCTGCCTGCTTGCTGGGAATGCCCTGTGCTGGGGCCCGGCCCGCCCCCTACCCGACCTCCTCTACCCCACTGGCCGGGCTCTTTCAGCAAGTACAGGGGTCTCTGGCCTCCTCCTCCCTGGAGCCTGCACACACGGGGCCAGCTCTGCGAGCCGGGGGCACACGGAGGCCAGGGTTCTTTGCTCTGCTCTGAAGTGTCCTCCTCTTCCCGTTTGTAACGTTCCACTCGTTCCTGGAGCCCGCAGGAGAGGAGGAAGAGCTACTCCAAGCGTGGGCTTTCTTCTGCCCTTTCTCCTGGGCCAGGGGCTCTGTGGAACCCTGGAAACTATTACGAGAAACTTTGTTTATACAAAATACCATCTCTCCCTCCTCTGTGCCCTGGCCTCTTCCCTCCTCCAAAAAGTAGTTCAAAGAGGCCCAGCAGCAGCCCTGACAAGTGGGCAAACCTGATCTTTGTTTACGAAATCCTACCATGAACTGTACCCGTGCAGAACCTGGTCAGCCGCTCCCGGGGCTGAGAGAACGCTGTCCTAGCACAGGGCCAGCACGTGGAGGACATAGTTGGGAGGAAATTTGCAGAATGAGGCTTTTCCCCCCTTGCCTTTTCAGAAAAAAAGTGACTGGCCCCGCTTGCTGGAGATGCAGTGCACTTTCCTACCTATCCCCTGAAGGGAAGTTTGTGTTCTTTTAAGTGAAACCAGTTTAAAAGCAGAACTCAAGCCGAAAGTGATCCAAGGTCCTCCCTTGTTCTCAGAAGGTGTAGATTTATTTACTGTAGTTAAAGCATAATTAGTTCTCAGGGGAGAGTGTATCTTTTAAACGGCTTTATTGCCACCATATTGGTTTTCTGAATAATCAGAAACTTCTGTTATGATTATGTTCTAGGGTTCGAACAGAAACGCTCTGTAAGTAGAAACAAATGTCAGGAATTGTTAGTTGTCACTCGAAGAGGGGACAGCACATCAGAAAGAACGCGATGGGATATTCCAAAGAACTATAGTCTAACAGCGTCTTCCACTGGGGCGCAGCTCAGGCGGTACGCATGCCTGCCTCCTCAGTCTTCCGGAGGCTGGGAATGGGGTGCAGCCCAGGAAAGCCGGGGGGTGGCCTTCCTTACCCACACGTTCACACATGAGTGTAAACTGTTCCCCATCTTGTCTGCGCCGGAGGATCTGCCCGTGTCCCTGTTCTGGCTGACCAGTCTTTCCCACCATTTGCAGGTTGATGTTTGAGATGCCGCAGGAAATGGGTTTAATAGCCATCGCAGGCCGCCAGACACAGGGCAAAGGTCAGTCATCTTTTGTTATCGTTTGTGTTGGGTCTGTTTTCTAAAACCAGTGACGCTCGTGGCCAGGAGAGCCCACTGATTGTGTGTGCTGATCCTCAAGGTGACTCCACTTAGAAGTCATTTGTTTTCACCCTCCCGCCCCCGCCCCTCTGCAGTGGAATGGAAGGGGGGGGGGGGTGTTGATCAGAAGATTGAGCCTGAGTAGAATTAAAGCATTCTCTCAGACGGAGATGTTTAGTAACTACCTGACATCTGCTTGTGATGGCTCTAACATCTTGTGAGTTCTCCCTTCTGACACGTTCTGCGCATTGCAGCTTGTGACTCATCACTGTGCTGTAGAGACGTTATTTTCCTGAGGGGCCATCTCTGTCTATACTGAGTGTCGCACGGAGGGCCTTGCATCTGCCAGCCCCTGCCCCAGCTGACACTGGAATTTGCATGGAGCCTTGCCCATTCACCAAGTGCCCACAGAGAAGCAGAGGGCTGCACAGAGCTTCCCCACCTGTGCCCCTCGGAGGCCGGAGGCCGCATCCTCCCAGAGCCCATTGTGTCTGGTCAAGAGCAGACTCGTGTTCAGTGTCATGCAGGAGGCACCGGCCCCTGCCCCTCCCCAGCCCGGCCAGCGCCAGGCTGACCCAATGTGCTTTTAACCCTCAGGCTCTCGTGCCTTTCTCAGAAGGAGCAAAGAAATAAGGAATCGGTTTCTGTTTCTTTCTCTTAAACATTTCTCAATCCTCACCCGAGGATATGCTTTTATTGATATTTAGAGAGACAGACAGACGAGAGAAACATGGATCGGTTGCCTCCTGTGCGTGCCCCAACTGGGGATCGAACCTGCAACCTTCTGGTGTGTGGACGACACTTCAACCAACTGAGCCCCCAGGCCACGGCTTAAACATTGCTTTAGCACATAAAGAGAGAAACATTTCATTTTACTAAAAGCCATGGCACTCAGTATGGTGGTTTTTAAAAAGATGGAAAAACTTTGATTAGCTATACCTCCCATATTTTTCTCCTGACTTATGTTTTAAGAAAAATAACTCAGACAGTTAATATCAGGGATCACCTTTTAAGTTCAGCTTCTTTTTGTAAATAACAGTGAGATATAATTCACATGCCACCCAGTTCTCCTGTGTAAAGTTTCCAGCTCTGTGGGTTTTAATACAGTCACAGGGTTGTGTGACCCTCACCACAGTAGGAATCAGTTCTAAAGAGGGGCCTCCCCTGCCCCGGCGTAGACCCAGGGCCTCCCCTGCATGAACATAAACCAGGGCCTCCCCTGGGTGATATAGATGCGGCCCAGTCCTGTCTCTCGCCGGCATGGCCGTGTGGTGAGAGTTTAGATTGTGAGTGATGTTCTGACACGGGAAGACTTTGAATCATCAAAGCACAGATGATGCGCTCACAGAGGCAGAACAGCCTGCTAATTGCGGGAGCTTGTTCAGCAGCAGAGCTTCAGGTCTGGCAGCTTCTCTGGTTGAGTTAACCCCAGAGCACCCAGCGCCTTCCCCAGCCCAGGTGTGCTCAAGGGCGGCCTTCCTGTGCGGCTCTGTTCATGTGGCGAAGTGGCCAGTTTCCCGGTGGGGCCTGTCTTCCAGGGCGAGGAGGGAACGCGTGGCTGAGCCCCGCAGGATGCGCTCTTTCCACGCTGCTGGTCTCCGTCCCACTGAGGTCCCCGCTGGGACAGAGGATCCCGTTCGTCCAGCACCTGATGTCCCTGGCTGTGGTGGAGGCGGTCCGGTCCATCCCCGGGTACCAGGTACGTGCGGCTGCCTCACCGGGGCGTCCCCACCGCGTGTGCAGGTGCCGGCACGGTGCGTGTGCAGCATGTGCTTGCGTGACGGCTGCATGTAGAACCTTGGCCTGCTCTTTGCCACGTTGGCAGCAGCGTCCCTGGAGTTTGTAGCTGCTCTATGCGCCAGGATGGGCTTCTCCCCGGGTCCCCCTCTGTGCTGTTGTCAAATAGCTACGGCCGGGGAAGGACTAGACTTGTTTTTATGGGAGCCCGTTGGACTGGAGGGCTGTTTGTGTTTCCGGTGACAGGCTTGTTTTATAGGCCAGAAAATCCCTCTCATTTCCCACCGTTCCCCGGGCCCTGCTCAGCAGGGCGGGTGGGGCTGCAGTGGCGCAGGCTCGGCGTGCGCTTGGTCTGGACGCTGCCCCAGCCGAGGGGACAGATGCGCCCGCTCCATCCTTCCTGTTGGGGCTTTGGTGTCAGTGACTAAGAAGACAAGGAAAAGGGGGCGAGCACCACGGTGACTAGAAGCCGTCTCTCCGGTACCTGCCCCACTTGTCAGGGAGAATTCCATGTGGCCACAAAGAAGGGGTATCCCCTGCCTTCTCCCCACCTGCAGCTCTTACTTAGGTCAGGCTAGACACGTTCATGGGATTAATTGCCGAGGCACGGTGCTGAGCGTGTGGCTCTCAGAGGAGGCTGGTCCCCGCGTTTAAACAGAGCGGCCCGCCCGTCCCGAGCTGCAGGCACATCCTCACAGTCACCGGGAGCAGGACCTGGGTCCGTCAGGCCACCATGGTATGGGTGAGCCCAGGGCCATCTTTCTTTCATCGGCTCCTTGACCCCTGAGACCCTTATCCCCCCCCACCTCCCCGCCTGCATCTAGCACGTGGTAGCTGCTCCATGGTGGTTGATGCTGAGATAATGAACTGCACTCACCAATAGGCATCTTCAGAAAGTGTTTTTTATGATGATAAACAGTGATTGGGGAGGGAAGAATGATGCAGTTAATGCCAGATATGTCCTTGGGTCTCTCTCCTGGTAGCCCTGAGAGGTGCTCTAACACTGGCTTGTCCCAAAGAAGTGGTTGTCGTTCTGAGGCCCCTGGTTCCTGCTTTCCAGGGTGCTCTGTTCCTCTCCCTTTTAGCTGGAGGCCTCAGCAGGTCCCTGGTGTCTGTGACGCCTTCATTAACATGCAGACTTCCCTTTAGGACATCAACCTTCGGGTGAAGTGGCCCAACGACATTTACTACAGTGACCTCATGAAGCTCGGCGGAGTTCTGGTTAACTCGACGCTTGTGGGAGAAACGTTTTACATTCTTATTGGTAAGTTTTTAAAGCCTTTCCCCCAGCATGTGGCTGTGTTGGGGGAGTGAATTATCATACGAATTACTTTTTCTTTGAGTCCTGTATTACAGAATGTAATACGTGTGCAAAATAGGCAGATTAGTTGAAAGTGCTTCGAGGGGTTTATTAGCCTTCCTGTCTATGGCCATGGAAACCAAATTGGTATCATGTCAAACGCATTTTCCTACACCTTCCTACACTCCTGCTTCTTGTTGAATTAGAAATGGTGAAAGTACTAGTAAACCACTAGATAGCACCTCACACCTGTTAGCATGGCGTGTATCAAAAAGATAAGAAATGACAAGTGACGGGGTTTTTGTGGACAAGTCCTCTCCACAAGAGGATGTGGAGAAAAAGGAATTCTTGTGCCCTGTTGGTGGAATTGCAGATTGATGAAGCCACTATGGAGCTGAGGTTCCTCAAAAATTAAAAATAGATCTAGCACATGACCCAGAATTTTCGGCATCGTGTACACTGAATTCCATGCCTGCACTCTGTAGGTGCTCCCAGGACTGTGTGCAGAGCTAAATGAATGAACCAACGCACCCCTGCAGAATCTGCTCTGTTGTTGGAGTTACTTTTGTTTTCTAGATGTAAATGCTATTGCTTTGTTTTTTAATAGGCACATATTTTAAAAATACATGCTGAGGCCAATCAGCCCTTCACTGCACTGAGAATGGATCAGAACATTGACCGAAGGACAGCGCTAGTGTAGACGTCATTGTTCTGTGTGAGGAGCGTGTGGGGTATGTTCTCAGAGGCCTGAGAACACGGTTGTCTTGCTGCTGGTCTTGCAGTGTTTCGTGGCTGATTGAGGGCCCCTGTGAGGCTGATTCAGGGCCGTGCTGAACACGTGGGCTCAGCGTCTCTGAAGGCTGGTGGCTCCCGGAGAGACGGCGGTGTGAGTAACAGCAGAGAGAAGCCTGTTCAGGCCCCGCTGCTGGTAACGCAGCCTCCTGAGGCCTGGCTTAGGCGGCCAGCAAAGAGCCACTGAAAAGGGGTTGGCCCCTCGCCAGCAGCTAAGCCTAGCACCGAAGACATCCAAGGATAAAGCATTAAAAGATCTGTTCTAGGGTTATCCCATCACCAGGCTTTGAAACCTCTGAATCCACAGTTTACTCCTTAAGACCTGAATAAAATTCTTTCTTTTCAAGCATGTGTTCTGTTACTCAAGTAGGAAAAGAAACAAGAGCTTGTCGGTGCTGAGCCGCAGGTCTAGGCTGGACCACACGAGCTACCGTTTTCAGAAGCAACGCTGAGAAGTTTTGTCCCGTCCCCCGCGCCGCCCCTCCCCGCCCCCGGCTTCTGTTTAACTGAATCAGAAGTGGCTTGCTTCTTTCTGTCTTATTGCCAGAAGGTGGGGATGGTCCTGGCTGGATGAGGGCAATGAAGGAAGAATGGAAAGAAGGAAGGGCGCAAATATATGTGTCCCTCCGTGAGTGGGCAGCAAAGTGCACATGGATGGGGCAGGGAGGCAGGAAGCTGACAGTGAACGCTGTCCCTCCTTCCAGACGTTGAGACATTGACAGGAACAGGTGATGCCATCAGCAGGTTGAGCTGTGCATGTTTTTCACTTCTTTGTTTGTTTTTGACCAGGCTGTGGATTTAACGTGACTAACAGCAACCCCACCATATGCATCAACGACCTCATCACAGAATACAATAAGAAGCACGGGGCGGACCTGGCGCCCCTGAGAGCTGATTGTCTCATCGCCAGAACGGTGACGGCGCTGGAGGGCCTGATTGACACATTTCAGGACGCAGGGCCCAGCGGGGTTCTCCCCCTTTATTACAAGTACTGGGCACACAGGTCAGTGCTGGCGCCTCTTCGTTCCTTATGAAGCCAGTAGGTCAGTCTCGTCAACTGAGAAACTGAGCCCCCTTCGGCCTACTTTCTGATGGAGAAACCTGGTAGACAAGGCCTCGCCTGGACAGCGCCGCCAGTCCCAGGCCCGCTGGCCTCCGGGCCTCCCGGGGGTGCGCTGGGAGGGACCCCATCACTGAGAGGTTTCCTGCCGGCACGTTTAAGCTGAATCTAATTGTGAGGAAACAGACAAATGTGAATTGTGGAACGTTCTAGATAACAGTGGTTTCAAAGTCAGCTTCCCCAGGCTGTGGGAATTGGGAGGAATACCGATTCTTGAGTCTCCCTGACAACCTCCTACATCAGAAACCCCAAGACTGGGCCCAGCTTTGTGCTCTGACAAAGGCCCCAGGGGATTCCCAGGCCCCTGGAGGTTTTGAGAAGCCTGATGTGCGCCCACAGGCCTCTGCCTTCCCAACGCCAGTGCCTTAGGCTGCCAGGTGGGCGCTTTCTGACAGTAAAACGCACGGCAGTGAAGTGCCACATGTGCTGCGTAACTAGATGCGCTGGGAGGGAGGAGCCACACAGGACGCTAACGAGACAGTGGGAGATGCGAGCTTGCGGTGTGTGAGGTCATGTTAGCTCATTCTCATTCGTAGGCGACACATGATGAAGTATGTAAGTGTCATGATATTGCAACTTATTTTAAATGTCAGCCCCCAAAAAGTGTGTGTGATCAGTTGATATGAATTTAAGTAAAGGGAGAGTATGAGATCCACTGTATTATCTTTTCAACTTTTCTCTAAGTTTGAAATTCTTTAAAAAAATCTGTTGTGGGAGGGTAATTCTGTACTTTTAAAACTTAAAATTGTATACATTTGGAAAATATGTAAAAGACAGAGAACTTCTCAGCTCAGCTTCTTTTCCCATAATCTCAGCCGAAACACTAGAGCGTGGCCAGTGTTCTTAAAAGTGCTCGAGTGGGAGGAGGGGGAAGATCAGCGGCCAGCGGTGAGAGGAGCCACTCCTGCCCTGGCCGGTGCTCAGTTGGTTAGGGCGTTATCCCGATACAGCAAGGTTGTGGGTTCAATCTCAGGACAGGGCCATACAGGAATCGACCAGTGAACGCATAAATAGGTGGAACAGCAAACCTCTCTTTCTGCCTCTCTCTCTAAATTCAATAAATAAATTTTAAAAAATAAAGGGGCAAGCAATTCCTAACTCCCTGTTGGACTTGTGCACACCCTGGTCATCGAAACAGCTCATGGGGACTGTGAGTCAGAGTGCAGACAAGGCATCTAACCTCGCCTGGCCCAGCCCCGCACCCCACGCCCCTTCCTGTCGGGGATCAGGTCAGCCGGCCAGTTCCGTGACCCCTCCCTGTGCTTTGTTCTCAGTGCCCAGCGAATCCGCCTGGGGAGCGCCGAGGGGCCAGAGGCGTGGATCGTCGGCCTGGATGACTCCGGGTTCCTCCAGGTTCACCAGGAGGGTGGCCAGGTGGTGACTGTGCATCCGGACGGCAACTCCTTCGACATGCTCCGCAACCTCATCGTCCCCAAGCAGCGGTAGTGCCGTGGGAAGGCGGCCGGGGGCGCGCAGAGCGGCCTGGCGCTGGGACCACTCAGGACTGGCCCCGGGCGTGGCCACCGCAGCAAGCATTCCAGTTCGGGCCTGCTCTTTCCTTGCCCACAAATCTAGAACGCTAGCTTAGAGGTGTGGGCGAACGTCCTCTCCCTCCGGTTAACCTGTTAGTCCTTGAATTTTGTTCTGTCAGTTATTTCCTCTGGTGATGGGAGAAGATGGGGAGGGGGAGGGGAGGGTTGCCGCGAGGGAAAGGTTTAGTTCAGGTAAAGCCCTACCAAAGGTGTGACATTGTCCCTCCTCTGAGGCCTGGACGTGTGTTTATTGCAACCCCCCAAATATTTTTACCTGGAAACCATAATGGAATAATTCAAACCTTTCCCAGCGGTGGAGACCTTTCCCCCTCGACTATTAAAAGGCAAATCAGAGACAGCTCTGGGCTGCGCATTGGTAGCGGAGGTGCAGCAGCTGTTTACAGCCCCGGCGGCTTCCTGCGGGGCAGACTGGCACTCCGGCAGCGGCGTCACTTTTGTGTTAATGAAGAGACCGGCGGTTGGAGGTCCAATGGCAGGGTCTGGTGGCCACAGAGGCACGTCAGCTGGGCTGGCTGCGATGATGATCGTGCAGAGGAAATTGGTTAATTACTCTGACTGGTTTCTGAGCTCTCCTTTCAGAGCTTTAATTTCACTGCGTATTCTGAAGTGATGGGATCAGGGTCAGGGCCCTTCAGGGCTGATGAGGCCTTGCCCAGATGTGGGTACGCCCGAACTGACGGCTGGGGATGGAGGCTCGCGCTGGCAGGGAGGCCTGGGAGCTTTGGAGCCCGTGGAGGCGGCTTTGGAACGTTCTAGTGAGACTGCTCACAGGACACAGAAGCACGTGGCCTGGTATTTGTCAATCATTATTTTTTGCCCCTTCTGATATCGACAAGAAAGAAAATGTGATTGATTTGGAATGCCATCATTTAAGGTTGTGTGTGTGTGTGTGTGGGGGGGGGGTGAGTGCACTCTTTAAACTATCTTCAAAATCTGATATACTAAGTCTCCACTGAAGAACAAAAGAAAGGAAGCCTTTTGATATCCATTGCTGTTTCCAGATGTACTCCACGCTTTTTCCATGTAACTGCTATCTCTGTTGAATGTGTGAATCATGCATATTACTTTTCAGCCTTAAAAGGCCGATTTTTGCCCACTTTTCTCTCTTCCTGCCAGTCCCAAGTGAAATTAGCGGAAAGAAAACTGGTGGCGCGCTGAGCTTTGAACAAAACCGCCTGATTGTGCAGCCAGCACCATCTTCACCCGCCCTCAGCCGGTCAGGCTGGAGGAGGAGATCAGGGCGCCCTCGGCCAGGCACGGGCAGCCCCGCAGGAAGGGAGCAAACGAATGTTCAGTACACCCGCCCAGTATGTGTTTTTTGGAAATGTAACTTTTTAAAAAGAAGTTCAAAAGTAATTTTTGCAACCAAGACTTCAGTTAGAATTACTACCCCCGCCCCCAAAGGTCCCTCTCTTCTAAATGCCCGTCTTCTTTTGGAGTTAGTCCCAAGCGTAAATAGACGTTCACCCCACCCCAACACTACGAAACGGACTCGCCCTTGAGAGGGGTCTGCAAAGCATCACCAAGAAGAGCGATCTCGGGTGCATTCGGCGCAGACTTGGTAACAGAAGGCAGGTCATCTCTCAGAGCCGCCGTCATGACTTGCCCGTTTCTTTGGGGGGTTATTTAATGAAAAACATGCTATGTTTTGTTTTAAGCCTAAGTTCTATTCTGGACAGCTCTGCATTGGGGGAAAAATGTTATCATTTAATTTCCTTTCTGTAAATTAAAACTAATGAAGTGTGGCCATGTCGGAGCAGAGGGAGCTGCGGGCGGCCGGCCCGTGTGTGCGAGGCTGCGCTTGCTTGTGCCCCGTCCCGTGTCTTCAGGGAGACAAAGTGGACTTGAAGCAGATGCTGAGCTTTTCCCAAAGCCGATTCTGCCCCAGATGAACCAAAGACTTTTTGAAATTCTGCTTCGCGTAGAGCAGCTGCATACAGACATTTCCTTAGAGCTGTCAGCACCAGGGGACCCCCCCCTCCTCCATGTGGGGTGACCATGCACCCGGCAGTCTCATCCCAAGGAGCTTTTCAAGTCTTAACAGAAATTACGTGGTCTTCAGCCTCTGAAACAGGACACTGAACTCAGGGTTGGTGTGTGCGTTTAGGACATGGAGTGGTCCCCCAGTGTGGAGGCTGCGCTTGAGCATCGGACAGGTTATGAGCTTAAAGCAGGTTTGGGGGACACTTTTAAAAGTGCCTGCTAACATAGGATCCGCCAGAGCTGGGCTTCCTGTGGCCCATGGAGCAGGGGATGAGGAAAGCCACTCCTGGAGGACTTCCGGAGCCGGCTGGGCAGCCTGGCTGCATGCACAGGGCGTGGGCTAAGTGGGAAGGATTTGTGTCTGGTGTGAAACAGTCCTGGGGTTCATGACTGCAGCACCCTCACTTGTGACCAGACAGAGAGGTAGAGGCACAGGCTCAGGTTGGGTAGCACACCCCGCCCCCACATACACCCCAGAGTCTGAAAACCTGGAGAAGCCAGCCTCACCCAGCAGATTGAGAATGCAATGAGACATTTTAGGCTGACAGTCTGTAGACCCGACCCGTTTGCTGCCAACAGACAGAAAATGGAGAATCTTTATTCCTGGGTAATTGCTATGCATATTCGAAATAAAAGGAAGTGGTGATCTTTGCATTTTTAGCTTTTCAAAGAATCGTGTCTGAAAAGTAATTACTTTAAGCCGATGCCTATAAAACACACGTCTACCAAAATAAACTTTAAGACTTTCTGTACAGTTTGAGCTCCTTGTTATTTTTTACCACAAGTTTCATTTTTAAAAATAGACAACTACTTTTGGTTACAGTATTTTTATTCATATTTAAACATTTTTACAAAATAAATAGTTTTACAAGGTAAGGAATATGTATGTATTTCTAAGTATTAAGAAGCCGGTGCTTTTTTAAGACGCATTTTTGACAAATGTATTGTGTCATACAAAAGAGAATTCTTATTCCAAAGAAAGAAAGTTAGCAAAACCCAAAAATAAAACAAAAGAATAAATGTTTGAGATGAAAAATAAATTTAATAAAACAACTTAATGTAAGTTTTTAAATTTAAAATAAATTGAACGTTAACAAATTAAAGAACATACTTTGTTCTTGTAGAATTTTTTCTTACTCTTGTATTTTTTCTTACTGCTTGATCTGTCTTGCCAGTTTTAAGATTTAACCTTATAGATCATACTTAAGTTTAGGATCAGCTTGAATAATGCATTTTAGATCAGGGCTATGATTCACTAACCATTTTAAGCTACTGCAATTTTCCAGCATTTATTTGAAAATGTTTTTATTCCATCTTACCTGTGGCAGTCTACCTTAACTGTCTTACAGTTACCATAAATTACAACTTCAGATAGACTTTATACAGGAGTCATTGACCGTATAAACTGCTCCCGACCAGAGGGTCCAAGGGAGGAAGACGTGGGTAGAACTTAAAAGGACGGGCTGAGGAGGGGACATGTGGAGGCAGAAAATACAGGCTCTTGCAGATCTCTGAGTGGCCCTGCTTCCCACCCCGTTCACTTCTCTGCAAAGGTATGAATGGAATGGCTTTTCTAGAAAGGGCTTCTGTGAACATAAAGGAATTCCTTTCCCTGGGAGGCCCTGGCAGTCTTGAGCTGGGCTCATTTCTCAAATCCATTCGATCTGGCCTTTCTATTAAGTTAGGACCCACTACAATTTGTGTGTGTGTGTGGGGGGGGGCTATTTATTAAAATGCTTCCTCTTCCCCTGCCAGGCCCTCACAGAAATCAAGAAGTGATATCCCCAGCTTAAATGTGCAGCCTCTCAAAGATGGAGGTAACACTATTAAGTTGCCATAGTAACTGCTTCTGTTAAGTTTGCACTGAGCTGCTGACTGCCTCCTGCCAACTTGCCTAGGAATCTTCACGTAAGATGTTTAGACAAGGAGGTCTTCTCAAGTACATACACACTCTCTGTCAAGCCCGTTTGTGTTGTCATTTGTCAATCTTTAAAACAGTCCTTTCTTCACGGTGACCTTTGATCTTAAACTGCCCCGAAAACCTTTGTGGTTTGTTTTTTACTAAATATGGCCCCCACTGGCTAGTAGCAGAGTAGATGCAAAAGCATTTTGCTGCGCTTTATTGAAAAATGCCAGGTGATACACCTGCTCATCACACCTCCGCCTTCTGGGAATCACGGTTTCATTACGAGCCTCGTGAGCATAACAGTAACCCCCCGGGTTTGTTTTATGTGCACGCACTCGCGAAGGGCTGCCTGCTAATGAGGTACGGCTAAGCGCAGGCCGGCAGGGCGGACGTCCATTCTTGTAACCCAGCCCCTGGCTGAACAACAGGTGCTCCTCAACTTGCAAATTTCATCTCAGACCACACGCTGCCCGGGGAAGGAGGCAGGTCCTCACAGTGACACTTGGTTGGCAACAGGTTTCACATTTTCTCAGTCGAAGGTGCACTTTGGTTCTAGGACGATGAGTTAAAGACATCTGTGGAAAGCCCTTCCCTCAGGTGGGTCTTCCCGAAAGTAAACCATTTTTGAAAAACCAACACGGAGGGTTCATGGTGTGGAGCAAATTGACAGATGGTGGATCCAGGCATTGAGCTATGACACAACTTTTAAATGGTGAAACCATGAAACAAAACTATAAAAATGGAAGTATAAAACACTGCTGGTGCTTCATGAGAGGTTTCTGTTGGCCTGTAACAGAGATGGCATGTTCGCCTGGAGTTTTGCTGCATAGAAAGTGCTGCAGACTGTGCACACCGTTTTCATGACATGCCTGGAGCGCGTTTTCTCCCGCGAGGCGCAGTCCGCTGACCACGTCCCATGTTGCACATGCAGTTGAACTCGCCAGCGCTGGCAACAAGCACAGCTGGGGACTGCAGGGCCAGAGGGGTTCTGCCTCATAACCCTGCCTGACAAGGGTAGCCTAAGTCACCCACGCGTCCATCTCCTAAACTCTGGCTGTGTGCATCCTTTTTGCATTTGATGCTTAATATTCTGAAGGTGCTGCTCTTGGTGTTACCCAGAGCTCAGAGGAAGGAAGAGCCTGTGGATGTACTTGAGAAGCACGCTGCCACCTTGGTCTCAGCTTGTAGGCTTTTTGTATTAAAGAGTTAAAACAACGTTTCATGAAACTCATGCATGACTCTTAACGGGCAGAACTGTCTATTCATGGGGCGTGGGATAGTTGCCTTCTGCCTGGACTTAAACGTCTGCAGGAAGCCCGCCCCCAGCCCCACCCCGCATAGCTGACCGTCAGGGCGCTCTCCTCCCTCAGGGAGGGCACAGGCGGAGCCAAAACTCCTCCAATCCCACAGCGGGCGGTGCGCATCCCGGCAGGCAGGGCGCGCGAGCCTGATGTCAAAATGACACCAGGTGGCCCCAAACACGGGGTAGTGTGAGGTCACTCGTGGGGCTCTGCCCTTTAGGAAAACCCGGCTCTTGGAGGACCACTGTCGGGCGGGGGTCAGTCCTCTCTCCACCGGCCTTCATGGCATCTACGGTAAAAATCTAACAGCCGGCGGCGGGGTGCTAGTAAAATAGTCGTCTCTGTATAAATTAATTTAAATCGTGCATATACAGCTCGCCGCTCTGACCTCAGCTGGCCGCTAGGACACCGGGGCCAAAGCGGCCTGGCCTATGGCTTCTGGCTGCGGGGGCCCCA